TTTTTTTTTTTTTAAATTTTTAGATAAATATTTTAATCATATTTATAATACCTGTTGTCCAACTACAGCCTTAGTTTCTTGTCCTGGTTGATCCAATCCTCCATGAACAAAAGATGAATTATTACTATAAAATCTATCAAAAAAATAAATGTATTAATTTAATTACATACTTTTCATTATATATGTAGTATTAGTTCAAAAATTAATTGTTCCTTAATATTGATTTACTGATCAATATTAAGTTAAAAGTTACAGTAATACTTATTTAATCATGTGCAAATAATTGAATACTTTTTAACTATTCTAATTTTCACATTCTTGAATATTTTCTGTTTTGTGTCATTTACCTCCAAAGATGAAATTTTGAAAATGCTTAATACTTAATAAAATAATTTCCTGTCATAATGCACCATCTCATGTCTGAAACTATTCTATATTTTAAATATAATCAAGCTGTTATGCAAAATACAATAAGACTTCTCTAACTCAAATATTTCTTTAAGAATTTGAAGAACTTGGTAGGTCTGAATGAAATAGCATAGGGGGTTTAATGTCTCCAACTTAAATTTCTTAACTTGAATTTTCTCTAAGTCAAAGTTTTTCATGGTCGTTGACACCAATTTATGTTAATTTCAACTTTTCTGACTCAAATTTTCATATTTTTTTTTCTATCAAAGTAAACCTAATTATCGGATTTCCATGAAATTTTCAGACAACATTCCAGTCCAAAGCAAAAGATCCTCTCACTTTATCTCAAAAAGATGTACCTGCAAATCTGTTCGAATCCATTAGTTACTGAATATTTTGCTGAAAGGCATTATACGAGCTGTTTAAAAATAATAATAAATATATTTATCATATAGTTAATCATTTTTAGATACTCTAAAAATGATTAACTATATTTTTATAAAAAAACGTGTTAAACCACAATGTTTTATAAAATTTCCATGTTATAGAGAATGATTATACACCTATTTGATAAATATAGAAACACAAATTTTAAGATGTACCATTATATAATACATAAGTTTTTATATAATTGTATTTTTTTTCCATCATATTTACCAATGTCATAAACCATACTCTATTTTGTATTTTTAACAGCACTGAAGAGGGGTTGAGAACATAAATCAAGCCGAAATGCATTTGAATAATTAAACAAATATTTATAAAATAAACCATAATTTTTTCTAACCAATTGCTGTTTGGTCATCTACCAAGAACCTTTTCTCTGGATTACAAGTATGCTACACAGAATTTGAACATACAGCAACCATACCTTCTACATTAAAAAAGAGATATTTTCAGGGGTATTAAAGAATCAAGTTTATCCCAATAGAACAATCCCAAAACCATTATTCCACATCCATCAGCTTGTAAGATTGCCACTTGGCAAGATGAGTCAACAGTTTTGACAACCCTATGGTAGTTTTCCACATTGTCAATGTATCTGTAAAGTATTTTTTTTTATCTGAGTAGTGGGAGAATGGGACTTATTTACAACTGATTGAAGTTGGCTACCCTTGTGTATCTTGGTCTTGTTTGAACAACAAATAGTCCTATATACAAGATATGTCAAAAGGTTTTATTATATGGCATAACAGACCATACATCAGGGATTTCTTGCATTCCATTAATTCAAATCCATTTGGTCTTCACCTATGTGTTGAATAGGAAAACACCTCATCTGCACATTTCCTAAACACTGATTTCTCCATAATTGTGGGCACTGTCAACATTGATATACAGGAAGTCCAAATATAATCCATTGTTTATTCCACCCATATCAAGAGACCCATACTTATATACTGTAAATGGGCAGCTTTTCAAGTCATGAACAACAGATATAAACAACATAGTCAAAAGGGCATATACACATCTCCAACAGCAAGGACAGAATAGTGAAACTAAATTACATCAGAGGACTTACTTTAAAATATGCCTAACCTTCACCTATTATCAAGGAACTTACAAAAAATACGCTTCATTGACCTCAAAATTCATAAGGACCAATGGTTTTTTTAAGCCAGTGAGGTACTGTATATTGAACAACTCAAATGAATTTACAAAGAAATAGCAAGATAAGTATAACAAACATCATGAAATAGCAAGAGTCAATAATTTCTCTATTGTTTTTATATCTTAATCAAATGATTGAGTTAAAAACAATAGTGATTAGAATTTCTAATTTTCAGAATTCCTAAAGATTCTCCAAGTGACCTACAACTCCCAGAAGTTATACCAATACTTCTGGGATATATATGGATATAAATATGAACTATGACTTGAGTCACTGCCACACCGCTGTTAATACCTAACCTACACGTTTATTACACTTGTTCTATTAGTTTTGAGTCAACTTCTGTGTATTAAAATAAGCGCCTTCATAGGTCTCATTGATGTATTTTTTATTAGGTATTATTAAAACATGTGCAACTTAAAGCTTTGCTTATTGAATCAAATAAAGCTTTAAGTTGCACATGTACCTATACCTATCCATTTACCTCTATACCTATCCATTTATAGAAGAATCATGAGTGTAAGCAAGTATGATTCACTAGGTGGCCCACTGACTGACATGTAATTGAAATTATAGCCTGCCTCCAAAATGAATTGGGCAGTCCTGCTCTATGGCCTTGCTAAATTTTAGCACTACACTTGGATCAGTGTCAGAATATTCACTAGGTGGCTCCTCCTCAATCGTATTAGCCTTCTGACTCTCTTTGTACAGTTCTTCGATTGTACATATCCCAGATATAACAAGTGCATCATCAAACTCTACAAATTTCCAGAAACACCCAAATAGTGACTAAATGTTAAAACAACAAAGTTTACAATAAATGGGGCTAGAAAAAAAAACTGTTATACTGATCCACTAAAAGGAGGTAAACATTACATTAGTTTGGCATAACCCGGGAAAAAAAATCCATTGTTCCGTGATCCATTAAAACAAGTTTCTACTGTATAACTGAACCCTGATTACAATAAACAGTCTACTGTATTACATTCTGCACATAAATTCTGTAATAAACTGTTCTGCCAAAATATGAAATCTTTAACTACTCTTACCTCTGAGACATTGTTTCAACAGGCATATTTAAAAAAATGTTAAAAAAAATACCCAATTTATGACACACTTAAGTTTATTGAGGATACTATTAATTATCTATCTTTTTGGACTGAAATTTGAAAAAAATTGTAGACATAAATTTTCAATGTTGTCCATTATCTGTCCTTAATCTTGAGAACCGAGTTAGATAGATGAAAGATGAGACCAGATATGGAAAACTTAGGGGCAGAAGGTCTTGATTAACTATATATGAGTTTCCGATGCAAACTGGAAGTCGTTATTTCAATTCAAAAATTTTCTCTGAAAGGTGTTAGATTACCTGCATGACTCTCTATTACTAACAGGAAAAGTATGATATACAGGGGCAAGACACTACTAATTTGATGTGGAAAATGCATATTTTAAAATGTGATTAAAAATTGCAGCCAACATTGTGATGATGTCACAATAATTATTCATATTCTATTCAAAAGTAGATTCTTGATAATTAATCTTAACACTAAATGAAATATTTAATAGCATTTATTTTAACAAATTTTTAAAATTAAATACAAAGAATGAAATATTGTATTAATAGTAAAAAAGTTATATAATTAAAAGAGCTAATACTTCATTAAATTGAATGCAAATAAATTTTAAATAATACAAATTTGTTGAACAAATTTTGTTCATATATTGGTTTACATTAATTGTTTTTAAATATTTATTGACAAAAGCAATTTTATTAAAAATTTTATAAATCAAACTAAATTCTACTAACCTGTGAAGATGTAATGGTGCTTTGTTTAGAAGTGTGTAATATTGTCGTACAAACTCATGACCCACACACTGGGGACTAGGTTGTTCCATGACCATGACTTTTTTTTTTTAATCTTTAGAAGCAAGACCTATTTTAATTAATACATAATCTATTAAAATTATTATTATTTCAAAAACTACAATAATTAAAATTAAAGCATTAAAAATTCTTAACTGATTTTAATTTTTTAATTTGCTAAAACTTTAGCATAACTTTAAAAATTAAAAGCAATTTAATAAAATTTTAAATCTTCATTAAAAATCACTTTATTAGCATTTTATTAAATTTATAATCTGTCTGAAAATATTTATAATGCTTATATTTACATAATTTATAAATTAATGAATAAAAAAAATTGGATAATTCATCGCACAAAATCATGTATCTACTGATTCTATATACTATATAAACTAAACCATTTTCTCATATTTAAAAAATAAAATATAATTAAATATAAAAATACACATACAATGCTAACTTAATTCATGAACAAATTTCTAAAATATGTTCAAAGCAATTCATTAAAAAAAAAATTTAAGAAAATCAGTTAGTTACAGATCTTTGTATTTCATAATGCCAAACATGAAGATCAACAACTCATCAACACCCTATCTGAAACTTATTACCAGTGTGTTTTGTGAATAATACAGTTTATCACTAATGTTTTCAAACTGTTAAATAGTTCTTTCTCAGGTGAAATATACCGAATAATCAATAGAACATATCAAAATAGAATGTGAATATTCAAATTAAATCGAATGTATGCTTGGTGAAATTCGTTATGATGAGCAACGCATTTCATGGGTGGATGGTGGTAAATTAAAGATTGGCATCCATAAGGGCCTGCCAGGCAACAGATAAATTAAGCTCCTCCTTTTGGTTGATGCAGGTGGCTGTGTGGCTTGTTCTATAAATGGATACGGCCTCTAACCATCTTAGATGTTCATGGTGAGAACAAGCCACAAGGCCACGTGCATCAACCAAAAGGAGCTAAATTTATCTGTTGCCTGGCAGGCCCTTATGGACGCCAACCTTTAATTTACCACCATCCACCCACGAAATGCGTTGCTCATCGTAACGAATTTCACCAAGCATACGTTCGATTTAATTTGAATATTCACATTCTATTTTGATATGTTCCATTGATTATTCGGTATATTTCACCTGAGAAAGAACTATTTAACAGTTTGAAAACGTTAGTGATAAACTGTATTATTCACAAAACACACTGGTAACAGGTTCCAGATAGAGTATTAAGTTCATAATGCCAGTATTCGATTTGGCTGAAGATGAATTATATAATATTCAAAGCTCTAGTAAAGCTAAGTCTAGTTCTGAAATTAAGAAATCTTTCTAAGTTTAAAACTAATAATGAAAATAAATTGATGATGCAAGTTTCTTTCTGTTAAAAATTTTAGTTATTAAATAAACTTATAAAATCTGAAAATAATTTAGAGTAGGATTTGAACTTAGAACTTATTCTCATGTTTTGAGATAATACAATATATATACAGTAGAACCTTGATTATCCAGACTAATTGGGGATGAAGGTAGTCAGGATAAGAAAAAATTCGGATAATCAAAACAAATACTTTGTCATTTAATGATAATATAACACGTTTTCTTTTCGATGACACATCGGTAATATTAAAAGTAAATACTGTATTTAAATTGTGATCAAATTATTCAAGAAACAAATGTTCGTATTGAATTTGGACTACTACTGACCAACGTTAACAGACTACCTATTGTTTAAAAGGCCCTCTGGTGGCGCAAGAAGACGAATTTTATAAAATAAAAAGCAGTTGAAACTGCATTTTTATGAATAAAAATTTGACAAACTATCATTTTATGATGAGTAAAATTTTTTCGTCGCGTTCACGGCTTTTAAGTAATGCATAAACCTTCGAAACACGAGTCCCTTTGGACTGCGAGGCATAGGCGGTGGGCCCACGTTGTCCATGCCTTATGCCACCCTTGGTCATTGAAATGATGTAATTTGAAAATAAAATTATTTATAAATATGTATGTCAAGTTATATTTTTATTACGATGCAAAATATATTTAAGAGTTTACGGCTACTGTGCTGGGTGAGATGTTGAAACAAAAAAAAGTTATGTATTCCATCATGTACATAAACAGTATAGTGTAAATCACTGTACTGTTTATCACTATATCGCCAAGTGTAAATCAGCAAATTCATAAAATTTTTGTTTATTTTGAACAATCCAGATAATCAAAAATCCGAATAGAGGTCCGGATAATCGAGGTTCTACTGTATAATTATTTTGTATGTATGTGTACACATTATTTGTATGTGTATTTTTATATTTAATTATATTTCGTTTTCTTAAATATGAAAAAATAGTTAGTTTATATAGTATATTATTCATTAATTTATAAATGAATAAATACTCTTGATAGATATGTATCTATCAAGAGCATTTTCCTGTCCAACACTGGAGTCATACCTCCAGTGCAGTTGGACTTAATATTTTACTAGTTATCAGAGTTAACATTTTTTTTTTTTTGGTTTATATAAAACTCATTTCTACCCTCAAAATTAAGCTTTGTATCATTTTATAATAGTACAGTAAAATTCAGTTAAGATGTTCTCATCTGAGATGTTTTTTCTCCCAAGTCCTTCAAATTCTGCAGTATCATCATTCTGCCCATAAGCACTGGTGTCAAAAAATGTCACTGACCCAGGGAAAAATTTACATGGGCATCAGGAATGATTGAAAAAAGTTGTGAAATGAAGTCCTGGTTCCTGTGAATCCTGGGCCTGGGAAATTTTACCCCATCATCCCATCGATCCTGCCTGTAAGACACTTGTTAAAAATTCCCACATATGTTCCCTTATGAGATTTTACAAAGTATCAATTCCATGAAGCAATTTTTATCCGCTTAAAATGATCATGTCAGTGTCCAATAGAGTTTTCCTCAGAAAATGCATGCACAGAAATCTTCTAGTCTTGATAGAAGGGCAATGCAACATTTGGTATTACTGACACTGGGAGTTAACTTGTGGCTAACCCAATGCTAAGAACTTTAAAATTTCAAAATTTAGATTACAAATGAAATTTGTTACAGTTGATTCCAGTATCAACAATTAAACAATTTCTGACTAACTAATCATTTTATTTTGTATTTTTAAAAAAATAATCAGAATTGTCATCATTACTTCTTTCCTGGCTGTTATACAGTATAGGCTTATAACAAAGAAGAATGACAATCAGTCAAAAAATAACTTTCCAAGATTTTCACTCTTTTGGACTTGGGAAACCTTGAAATGTAAAGAAGTGCAAAAACATTCTGGATCTTTTTCTGTATGCATGGATGTTAAAATGTGTTTGGGAACACAATTTAGTTCAACCACTTTGAAGCTCAATAACTCCCATGTTAAACCATCTGACTCTGATTCAAAAGCCACAGAAGTTATTAAGCATCAAACAGGGTGAAGAAAAAAGAACAGGAAATACATACAGGAAAAAAAATCAAATCTTTTGCATATCTAAACATTTCAAGGTGTCCAGAGTACTAAAACAAAAATTTGGGGGGTCATTTTTTGACCAATCACTACACTTTCCCCTGTTATATTACAGTATAACACCCAGGAAAGTAAAAATTATCAAATATGTATTTATATATTAACTATGTCAATAGTTATAGTAGTCTTTTATCTTTGAAATAAAAAAGTTTCTACATCCTATCTTTATTAGAACTCTATTTACTGAAGCTTTTATTCTGAGGTCATATGATGACATCAGAATTCCTGGGCCTACTTTGGTAACAAGCCCTCCTAATAAGGCAAAGTTGAAGTTGGTAGATTTTTTACACTACTCCACAGCCCCATTTTTTTTTACATTTTAAGGCACTGTAAGTACCAAAATCTTCAGAAATGCAAAAATATTGAGTGACCAAAATTTGACTGATCAATATACTTCCCCTATATTATATTCTCTAATAGCCAGGAAAGTAATGTGTATATATATGAGGTATCATTCAAACAAGAACTTTTTCTACAATAAATTGATTGAAAACAAAATCAGTTATTGTAATTATTTATAATTATCTACCATATCAATTATTATTATACACAAATAGTTGTAAAGATAATTTAACTAAGTGTTGTTTTTGCATATTTTTAGACTTATGAAATTAAGATTATTATTTGAGAAATACAGTTTAAATACAGTATCAATACAGTATCATGACAAATAGTTTAAAAGTAATTTTTTAATACTAAACTTTCTAATAATTTCCATTTAGATGAAAAATCATTATAAAACAAATGTTAAATCAAAGCAGAATGATGATTTTTTTATATTATATACAGGGTTATTCATAAGTTCATAAAACATTTTAAAAATTTAACATTAATAAACTACTCAATAGATACTATATTTTTTAACATTGAAATAAAGGTAAACTCCAAGATTTTCAGGAATGGTATGCATGCATAGTTGCCGTGATTTGTCATTAGAAGGAATTGTCCCTCTAATTTTCAGCTGAGTATAATGATAACATCTTTCAACAAGACCTCAAATAAAAATTTGCTCCAATGCTGGATATGATGCATTGGACAAAATTATGATACATACATGAATTGGCCACCCCAGTCAGATTTAATCCCATGTGACTTTTTTTTTATAGGAATTCATTAAGGACAGTCTTTGTGCTCTCATTCCCTCAATCTTCAGGAACTGCATGACCATATCATTGTAGCTGTGGCACTGGTCACCCATGATATGCTTACATGCATATGGAAGGAAATAGATTATTCACTAGATGTAAGAACACTTCAAAACTATAATCCAGTTAAAAACAAACATTTATTAAAAAACAAATGTTTTCAACCTTTACAAAGGCCATCCTCAGGTTCTAGTATTTGAATGAGTTTAGCAAAGTAACTGGCATTGCTTTGCTATTGCATCTCCTTTTTTTGCTCTGTTCTGGTGTTTTGTTCATTTTTTTCACTCATTTTCCATTAGGCATGTGCAATTTTTAAAAAAATTTTTGCCCCTAAATTCCATTAGGCATGCTCAATTGCATCAGGGCATATGGACATTGTCACTGTGATCTCAA